CCCTAATTGGCCTCTGAGGGCGGCCCCAGGCCAAGCCAGGAGATTTGAGGAGGATGATAAAGCCTTTTGGTGCCAGAAGATATTTTTGGTTTTCAAGGGAAGTTAAAGGAACCTGATGGGCCCCAGAGTGCTTGTTTTCTGAGCAATGTTGGCCTCCACCCGTTTAACTTCTTTCCCAGAGGAGATGCAGCGACCACACTTCAGGGCCTAGGGAGCGGTTATATCAGCATCAGCTGGGTTGCCCCAGCCTTGAGCTCCAAATGACACCCACTGGGCCCCAATTCCACAGCCTGTGGACATCCACAGGGCTGCCGTACTGCCCCTTCCAGCCCCACGGTGCCTGCAACTGCCTGGGACACTCCTGTTGTCATGGTAACCTGGCACAGTCTTGTGTGTGGACCCAGAGTACCCATGAGTACTCGTGTGCACACACAGCTTCCATGGGAGAGAGGGCTTCTTGGAGGATTTGGGAGTGGGGGGTGTCAGAGGAAGAATTTTAGTGACTGACGTTGACATACCCCGCATCACAGCACATCCCTGCAAAACCAGCTGCTTAACAACCACACACAGCTCTGCTGGACCGGCTTCACCCAGCGCGCCCCAGCCTCCCCTCAGCCCCAGGAGGGGGTTCCGCCTTTCTGTGCCGCTAACAGGACTCATCCTGGCTCATCCCTTCCCCGGGCAGCTCCTTACGGCAAACGCCAACTGTGATCACTGGTGTCCGGGGCAACATGACAGGGACACAGGGCAGAACGAAGACACCAGCCACATAGTCTGGCCTTACAAATACCACCTTGTCTGATGAAGGTTTTCACCCTGAGAGATTTAGTTCCTCGGGTAGAATGAAAACAGACCACACAGCTAGCTCCCCACCCTGACCTGTTACATCCTCATCCTGGGGGGGGGGGGACAGGGAGTGTTGACTGGGAGGGGGCGCAAGGGGGTCTTCTGGAAACGTCTGTGGCAGTGCATCTAATAGAAATGTAACCCAAGCCACATGTGCAGTAGCCACATAAAAAAAAGAAACAGGTGAAATTAATTTCAATACTGTTTTATTTAACCCAATATATCCAAACTATTACCATTTCAACATGGACTCAAGTGTAACATACTACTAATGAGCTATTTCACAGTCTCTTTTTTCATACCAAGTCTTTGCATTTGAAACTCCGTGTGTGTATTATGACACTTACAGCATGCCTGAATTCAGACAGCCCATTTGAAGCACTGGACAGCACTGCTGTCTAGCTTGATGTGGGTGGTAGCCACACAGGTACAGACATATAAACCCCTCTCTGTGGGGCTGCAGGGTGGGCTGATCATTTGATTCTGTTTTCAGTCCGATTCCAGACATTGACAAAAGAGAGGGAGAGGACGAGGAGGAGGAAGATGGCCTGGCGCCTTGTCTGCCGGGCTCCCCGAAGAACTGCCTTTCTCGGCGGGGCATCAGTGTCCTGGAGAAGCTCGTCAAAACGTGCCCGGTGTGGCTGCAGCTGGGCCTGGGCCAGGTGGAGGCGGCCAGGATCCTGCACCGGGAGGCGGCCGGGGTGAGTCAGGGGCTCTCCATCACGTGGCCGGCGGGCGGGTACAGCTGCCAGGAGCTGCTGGGGGTGGGAGNCCAGACACGGTGCTGGCTCCAGGCGTCCCCACCTGTGCCATCCCGCTTGAGCCCGACAGCCCAGCCCTGAGCTCCATCATGGGCATGGGCACTTTGCAGTCACAAGTGAGCATCCAGAGCCCAAGGCCCAAAGTCAGCAGGGATGCAGGGATTAGAGAGGACAGCTGCCTGGCCTCATTACCCTTCTTTGACCCAGTCAGAGCAGGTGTCCGTGTCACCCTGTCCCTTCAGGGCTCCACTGCTCCTGTGGCCCCAAGCAAGGCCCAGACCACCCCCAGCCTTAGCTGCTCCTCTCTAACTTCCTGACCTTGCTGCAGCCTTTGGCACTTAGAGGTCCCTCTCCCACCCTCACATCCCTGTGGCCCCCAAGTCACCACTTAGGGGCCCTGCACAAGCCTTTATTACTTCTGCACTGGCCCACCCAGGGAGAAAGGAGAACATGAAAGAGTGACACAGCTCCTGGAAAGCAGTATCTTCAGAGCCTCTGGTGGTTTAGTCTGAGCAGCCAAGGTCGGCCTCTAGGTCACTGGTCATTATAAGGATTCTGGGACAACCCCAGTTCTTACTTGTCTTTTTGCCAGCACTAGTTGGGGTCACGGTGTAAAAGGGATCCTCCAAGCAGTGTGTTTCTGTGCCCCAAAAATTGATGTCTTTTTTTCATGTCAAACCATGTGGTTCACTGGCACTTGAATTTGTGGGTTACCTCTGGGGTCAGATGTTATCTTGGGTATAAGCCGAGTGCAACACACAGACATGTGCCTCAGTCACTCTAATTAAATGTGCTGGATCCTAAAACCAAGGCTACAAAGTAGGAGAATTATAGCAAGAAGAGGAAAAGAAGAATTTCAACTAGAAAAATAATAGTTAACATTTACTGGGCACTTGACAAACATCTCATTGAATTTTCACAGTAACCCGATTAGGTAAGGACTAATATTGTTTTTTTAGAAATGCTTAAACTGAAGCCCAGAGAGGTAAAGTAACTGGCCAGAGATCACACAGCCTGGACTCAAACCTGGGGCTTCTAGAACAGCAGTCAAGCTTCTTCTGAA